TGTGTGGGGGGTTCGGAACCCAACTGTAGAGGTGAGACGGGTGAGTGGGGTTCCCAAAACAACAGTAGAGGTGAAACGGGATAGTGGGGTTGAGAACCCAACTGTAGAGGTGAGACGGGTGAGTGGGGTTCAGAACCCAACTGCAGAAGTGAGACAGGTGGGTGGGGTTCAAAACCAAACTGTAGAGGTGAGATGGGTGAGTGGGGTTCCGAACCCAACAGTAGAGGTGAGACGGGAGAGTGGGGTTAAGAACCCAACAGTACAGGTGAGACGGGTAAGTGGGGTTCAGAATCCAACTTTAGAGGTGAGACAAATGAGTGGCACTCATAACCCAACACTAGAGGTGAGCGGGTTAGTGGGGTTCAAAACCCTATGGTAGAGGTGAGATGGGTGAGTGGAATTAAGAACCCAACAGTAGATGAGAGACAGGTGAGTGGGGTTCAGAAGCCAACTGCAACGGTGGCACGGGTGAGCGGGGTTCATAAGCCAACTGCAGAAGTGAGATGGGTGAGTTGGGTTCAGAACCCAACTGTAGAGGTAAGACGGGTGAGTCAGGTTCCCAAAACAAGAGTAGAGGTGAGACAGGTTAGTGGGGTTCAGAACCCAAGTGTAGGGGTGAGATGGGTGATTTGGGTCATGCTGCCATGCTGACAACTGCCTAGCGAACTCGACTAGATCGCGTACAGGTCTGTTATTGAGGATCGCATTTAATGCGTCTGAAACGATCTCGCGGAAAAAAAAACAAAAAAAAACAAGGGGCGACGAAATCGTTTTAGGGTTGCGGAGCTCTATTGTAAAAAAAAAATTTAAAAACGACTTGTGCTAGCATACTAATAAAAAGTAATCCATTCAAATTCAAAGTACACATCTGGAAGTGTACGTAAATCAAACAAAATCTGTTTTTTTATAAGATTCAAATTATGAACATGTCACGACTGCCAAGCGTGGAAACCGCCACCTAGAAATGGTTCTTCTCTTTCCACGTTTTATATTCTTATGTTACTTCTCTGTATTGTTTTATTATTTCGCTACCGTTCTTATTTATCTCGTTTTCGTTTTTCGTTTTAGTATCGTCACTCTCGATACTGTGCGATATGATTACCCTGCCCGGTGGCGAAAGTTTTCAAACATAAGTATAACTCATGTTTGTATAGACTGTATAGGGTCGCCTCTTAGAGGGTACAACACTCTTAGGTATATACCCTTGTACTCTCACTTTATTCAATAATTCTTCTGTTCTAAGAAAAGTTGCCACGTGGCAGGTTTTGTTTTTTTGTTTTTTGTTTTTTTTTTTCACCTAGTGGCGAGGCCCGTCACGCGCGCAATTTCTAACGGCAAATGCTGTAGCCGTACAGTGACGCTGAGTTTGTTCTGCCACCGGTTCGGATGTTTTTTTTTGTCAAATCGCGACTGGCTTCTTCAATGACGCGAATTACGAGGGCCTGTTCTAAATTACCAGTTTCATTGAGTTTCACCGATTAGTTGGTTATGCAAATTGCAAAAAGCGAATCGATGGGTTTTCGGACTTTTAGTTCCGAAGAATATGATGCAACACGTGCAATGATTAGATGATATACAACACGCCCCGATATGCTTGAAAATTAATTCACCAATTGCAATCTTGCTGGGCAGTTTCGGATGGAAACGAGAAAATAGATGGAGTTGTGGCATTTGTTGTGATTGAAGATTCTCAAACAAACTGCCAAGCTCATCGTTTTCGCCACCTGTTTCTTGCTGGAACAGTGGCGAGCTTGTTTCTAGTGGCGCATTAACACCAAATTAGAACCAAATTAATTTGCTTTGAGTTGTGAATTAGAAAAACAATGCGATAGAAATCAATTATCGGCAATCGGGCAGTTTCGGGCAGTTTCTGACAGAATAATCTATGAACCTTATAAACGAGCGAATATCGTAACTGTCGAAAACGTAACTGTCACAAGCAGTTATTTTTGGCGAGTAACGCCTGTGGCCAACTGTTTTGCTGTCATATTAAATTCGGCAGCTGTTAATTTTGTCAATAGGCGAACTTAGGTTCTTCTTGCTCCCGATTGGACGAATTGCACAACATTGGCAGCAGAGTACGCCATGGGACGAAAAAAGACTATCAAGTGACGAAAATTAATTTGCTTGACCTAGCAAGTGATTTTGTGTGCTGTATTTAGTTTAACCGTTTCTGGCCATAAATTTGCTCGATTTGGTTATGGACTGTTTCTAGTACGTATGATCCCACAAAGTGTCATCCGAGAAATGTTGGAAACTCTAACTGTTATTTCGAAACCTCAACGTTTGAGATGGGTTTTCAACATTCTCGGATGACACTTTTTCACAATGCCACTAATAAAAACAAGCCCTAAGACTTTAAGCACAGTTTTGTACAATCGGGCAGAGGTGAGGTTTTTTTGGACAATCCAACTCAAGGTGGTTCCATTCGTTCTAGTCTGCCTTTCTTGTTTCTTTCCAACTCTCAACCTTCCTTGTTCAACTTTGCTTCCCCAAGCATCATAGCTTAACAATTCCAAGTTCTCCAAGCATTCTAGCTCAACCATTCCAAGTTCTCCAAGCATCCAAGCTCAACCATTCCAAGAACTCTAGCAAGACCTTATCTCATCAGTAAGCGCCCATAACTCATGGAATTCATATGTGGACGTTTTCCTACCGATTTTTGTGTTCTCTGTTAACAGAAACTTAACATTCTTTACTTTTTTTTCTGCAGGATCCTTCCGAGTTCGTTTGGCTCAGCTCTCTGCCCACGCGCCCATTCAAACTCTAGGTAAGCTGCTATGTTCATTACTAGCTGAACCTTTTTTTTTTTTCCATGTTAGTTGAAATTGAAGTGCACAAACTAATTTGAGGCGATTCGCTTTCGAATCTGCCTGACCCAGCAGTCTAGTAATCGACCGTTTCAAGGTGCCATCCTGCTTGTCTCAATTCCCTCTTTCCAAAATTTCATTTGTTCGACGGTGTGTTTATTTTTCCTTATGATCATTGGCAGAATCGCGATTCGTGCCATCTGGCGCACCTACGTGCAGCTTTAGGATCCTGGTGAGTGTCGGAGATCGATTCTCACGAATTGCACCCTATTTCCTAGCTTGTTGAATGATCTGCACGAGTCAGATAAATATTTTATTGTTCACGTTATGTTCGCCACGTCTAGTCTAGGTAGTAGGTTCGGCTGGAAAGGGCAACTCTTCAGGTTCGATACTTGCCAGATTCAGAAACAGTATGTTCCTCTTTTTTATACTTGTTCTTTTCTTTATAATTATTGGCAGAATTGGGATTCGTATCATTGGCGCAGCTGTATGCAGCTTTAGGATCCTCGTGAGTTTCGAAGATCGATTCTCACGAATTGTACCCTAATTCCAAGCTCGTTGAATGATCTGTAAACGTTAATTTAAATTTATTTGTTCACCAAATGTAAGCTACGTTTAGTCTAATGGGTAGCTTTTTATGGGGAGGGTGCGTATCCAGGTTCGATGCTCGCTGGCATCTTTTTTTTTCTTTTTTTTTTTCTGGTTCCTTTGTTTGTTGTATGCGAATTTCATATCTTTCTAATATTGGGACTAGTGTGGTCACTAGGGTTCAATATACATTGTCACCTAATATGTGCTGCTTTTTCTATATTTGTTATTTTCTTTATAATTATTGGCACACATACGATTTGTGTCATCTGACGCAGCTGCGTGCAGCTTTAGGATCCTAGTGAGTGTCGAAGATCGATTCTCACGAACTGCACCCTACTTCCAAGCTTGTTGAATGATCTGTTAATTTAATTTAAATTTAATTGTTCACTACATGGAAGCTACGTCTAGTCTAGTGGGTAGCTTTACTTGGGAAGGGAACGATCTAGGTTCAATACTACCCGGCATCATATTTTCTTTTCTGGTTCCTCTGTTTGTTGTATGCGAATTTCATTTCATTCTAATATTGGGACTAGGGTGGTCACTCGGCTTCAATACACATTGTCACCTAATATGTGCCTCTTTTCTATATTTTGTTATATTGTTTGTACTATTTGATTTTTTTTTAAAAAATTTACTAAACATCTTGGAGTTCTTCGTTTAGCAGCTCTTCATCTGGTTGGTAAGGTGATCTCTTCGGGTTCGATTCCCCTTGCTCCTCAAAATTGTGTCTGTTTTGTCTATTTTTCAATACTATTTTGTTATTTAGCAACTGTTGTGTTTGTTCGCCCAGTTGTTTTGTGCCCGACAGGGTTCATTGCTGCAACCGCCTGGGTTCGATACCCACTGAACTCCTTTTACTTTGTTTCCAATTTTCTTGAGTTGTTTTTCCTTTGTGAATATTACGTGCAGCCAATTTATTCAGTTCTAAGGACCAGCGGTTCACTGTGTTCATTGGCTTGGTGAGCAGCAGCGTTTGATACCCTTGTCTTTTTTTTTCTTTTCTTTTTTTTTTGGACTGTTTTCTTATTTGTTTTCTGCTGTTGTTTGTCCGATTGAGTTTCATTCAGTTTTTATGTCCACATGAAGTACAGATTGTTGACTTGTTTGACCGAGCGGTCTGCTCGATCGAGTTTGGCTTATGTAATTACCTGGTTTCAATACTTGTCACCTAATAAGCTCTAATTCTCACTTTTCTTCTGTTAGTTGTTCTATGTGAATTTTGTAACATTTTATGCTTATATCACGTGTAGGTTGTTCTGTGGTTCAGCGGTCTGCTCAATTGTGTCTCTGGCAAGGTGAGCACCTATAACGATGTCTTCCGTGTTTCGTTTTGCTCTCTTTTTTTTCTTCTTGTTTTTTTCTTCTTGTTTTCTACTGTTTGTTTGATGTGAGCGTGATCTTGTTTATGGGTAAACGTTTAGTGCAGACTATTTCTTGAGTTCTTATTATTTAGCGGTCTGCTCGATGGGGTGTGAGTCAAGATCACCTCGGGTTGATACCTTTGGCAACTGATTTGGTGTTTCCCTCTGTTTTCTTCTGTTATCTGTTATGCGTGATTTCTTTTGTGTTTTATGATATTTTGTACAGGGTGCGTTTCGGGTCCTCTGGGTCATCGGTTTTTGTACAAGCTCAACCTCAGGGTTCGATACCCATCGCTTTTAATGTGCGTTTTACTTTGTTTTCTTCTGTTGTTTGTTCTATGTCAGTTTCATTCTATTTCTTCCTTACTTCTAGATTTCGTATAGGATGTCTCTTGACTTTGTGTGGCTTAGCTGTTGTCATTTGTCTGTTTGGCTGCCAAGGTGATTTTGTTTCGATATCCATTGTCACCGAACATGTAGGGTTTTAGTGTTCAGATAATATTTGATACCCACTGTCACTAATTCGACGGTACGTAAATTCTTGTTTCCCCAATTGTGCAGTCCCTAGAGCAGCAAGTGCGGCTCTCGCTTTAAAGTACTGAATTTTCGTTTCTTCAGGTGAGGCGTTGGTCGTATCCTCGAGATGCCTCCGAAACGGAAAAGCGAATCTGCAAGGGAGAGGTTTAAGAGGGAGGCTGAGAATAAGAAGAGAAAGAGTGAATATTATGCGAAGGGATGGACGGGGATAATGCGAGGCGGAAAGTTACTACTAGGTGGGGGTAGGGTGCTGATGAAGGGAGGAGTCATACGTTTTATGAGACATAGGGATTTTCGAAGTCTGACGGAGGAAGAGCGTGCAAGTTATACTCTTCCAAATGGTGACAAAATTGAGCCGACTAAATGAGACGACATCCCGAACGATGCGCAGAAAGGATCTAATGAGTGTGAGGATGTCAAGAGTATTGATAAGTAGAAATGTTATGATTGTAAAGCTGTTTTTTGTGTATGGATTATTTAGATTGATGTACATGATTCTTGATCAACTAAATGTTAAAGCATGAATGTTTGAAACATATATTTTCTCTCTATCTAATTATTGTATTACATTTTTTCCATAATCTACATTGAGCAGGTTCGAAAGTGTTCATCGCTGTTGAAACTCGCATCGAAACATATTCGAGAGCGTGGTGGGTGAGGGAAGTGTGGTGAGCCGACAACCTCTTGTTACAACATGGGATCCAATTCTTCTGCCTGGATGATCTTTACGGGAGTGTCTCTGCTTGGTGAATTGAGGCGGGAGTTTCGATTTCTTCATAAAACTGTGAGTGGCGATGGGGCATGCTTGTATAGATGTTTGGCCATCGCAAACTCTGGCGATGAATCATCGTGGGACACTTTGAAAGGAGAAATAACACTTCATGTACAAAGCAACTGGTCAATTTTTTGCAGAGGAGGTTAAAGGATGTCATGGTTCACATCTGGATAGCCCCACAAAGTACCGTGAATTCATTAAGCCTAATCACGTACGGGGCACGTTGTGCGAAATCAAGGCTTTTTGCGAATTGAAAGAAAGAGCGGTTATCGTTTGGTTCCATCAACGGGAATGGGGTCATTGTGAGGGTGTGAATTTCTTCAACAATATCGACGATGTCCACTTATTGCTAAAAAATAATCATTATACCCTGTTGAAGGAATCTCATCAAGGTGAACTTTATGGGTCGTCCTTTCTTCGAAATCGCGTGAACGCTTCAGTTCTTGAGAATCGTAATCATGTGGTGTCGAATGACATTCCGCATGAGGTTCACAACAGAAACCATCCTTCAGCAATTGAGATTTTAGGATGTTCTCGTGATAACCTCGGAATAGACGACAGACTACATGATCCCCCAATTGTTAACCGGTCTTCAAATGGCGCACGTACCCAAAAGGAAAAACATAATATTAATGAATTCGATGGTCGAGTGGATCCCAATGGTGTTATTAGTTTTACACTCCCAGATAAACTTGTCGATGAGTCAAAAGTTATCGGCATTATAGAGCACAAGGGTTGTTTTGCAATAAGAATGATGCTGAAGGGGAAGAAACTATTCATTCCAGGCTTTGAAAGTAAGAAACATGCAGCTTGGGCGCGAGAATATTACATTCTAAAGCCTCGTGGTTGTCACGGCAATAAAACACTTCCTTATAGTCGGAGCTTGTTTGTTTATAAAGGACAAATAACCACGATTCCTTTTCTGGATGCTATCTTTACGAAGCATCATTGTGGGATACCACCATTAGCGACACAAAGTCCTCCATTTACCGGAGTGTACGAAGGTTGTGAAAAGTTTGGATTTCGATTAATGGTACAAGGAAAAAGTTATGTGTATGAGCATTGGGATTCTGCCGAATCGGCTGCTCGCGCAAGACAATATCTGTTGCATTTAATCTTTGGTCCAAATTGCACCAAAGCTTTATCGTTCCATGTTGGGGAATTCTATATTAGAGATAAGTTGATCCGAGATGAAGCATTGGACACCCTTTTCAGCAACGTGGATATGCGCTACACAGAAAAAAATAGGCAAGATAGTATAATTCAAAATGCCATAGGTCGTTTCACAAAATCTTGTAAAGAAGGCCCAATTTTCCCTTGTCATTGTTGTGACAAGCTTCATTTCAACCGCCAATTAGAGAAGTACAGCAACGAAGCATTTCCAGATATTCACAAGGTGTGTACCAATTGTGCACTTTCTTTACAAAATGATTGAGTACCGGTTCTATCCAAACTTGGTGGGGTAGTTTTAGAATAACGACCCAATGAGCTCATAGGACTAACGTCACTGGAGGACGGTTGGTTTCTCCGAGAGTTGTATTTGCAAATATTACGCAAGGTCATGTAGGAAAACAATATAAGATACGAGGTGGTATTGTTAATGTGCTAGTTAAAGTTGTGGATATGGTTACGGCGTTGCCACGATTATCGCAAGAGTCATTTATTGTACACGTTCGTTTCAAACGAAAATTACAAAATACACATCATGTTTTTGAGGACAATGTTCGGCCAAAAAAGATTGCGCGTGCACTAGCATTCTTGGAAACAGAAGAATTATTTCAGAAATTTAACATCGTGTTAGACAAAGATCGGTTACGCAGTTTGCGAGAGGAAGTAGTCGCAAACACTAGCCACTCTGAGGCACAAGCATCGTGTAGTCAAACGAATGATTGCTTATCCGATGAAGATATAGAGAAAGATATTGATGAAGGCGATATGAATGTTGGCATATTGGATACGATACTTTCAAATGAACCCTTTTATCAAAATTTGGAACAACACATTGTAGAGATGGCGCCAGGGGAAGGTTGCCGACCACTACCCATATTGATGGATAAGTACGTTGAAGAACTTGCTTTTCCATCACTTTTTTTGTGGAAAACATCGTTTGCCCAATGTTGAGTCATCTCTAATCAGTTATCGCGATATTGCTAAATGGGAGCTATTGAACAAAGACTGTCGATTCTCTACAAATCCGCAGAATATTTTTTTCAAACTATTCAAATTAGAGTTGATTCAAATGGATAATGTTATTGGAACCCGCGTGCGACAAGAAATGTTGGAGCACGTAGGCAATTATTGTGCCAAAGATGTTCTAAGCAATGAAAAACGTAAGCTATTACAAAAGAAGGATGTTATTTATAATGAATTCAAAACTTTCAGGGCATCCCCACAGTACCTCGAAAGTTGTAGGCATGACCTGCTCGCTATGATCCGACAACTTGGGCCACCAACATTTTTCTTAACATTTTCTATGGCGGATACACTATGGGTAGATTTGCGTTCGATCCTTCTTGAACACAATAGAAATGTCGGCAATATAGAAAACATTGGCAATGTAAATAGTATGCCGCTGTTAGATTTTGCAACAATTGCGTTATTAGTAGGAACATATCCTGTAGTATGCGCGTAGTACCTACGTACAAAGGGAGAACGCTCTTTTTCGAGAGCTATTATCTGCCAAGACAGGGTTGTTAGGCACGGTTGTTGACTATTTCGTTATGGATGAATTTCAACACCGTGGGGCCCCACATTCACATTGCATGCTGTGGAGTAAGTCTTTTACATGCGGTTCATCAACAACCTTTGGTGAGATTTTGGCTTTCGTTGATCGTCATATCTCATGTCGCTCTCGGGATCTTGTTGACGATCCTTGTACAAAGGGTTTAATCAAATTACAAACTCATTTCCATACCCGTACGTGCAAGGTAAAAAAGTAGGGAAGTGGGCGTAAATGTCGTTTTGGGATACCCAAATGTCCAGTTCCCAAAACAATGATCTTAACCCCTTTTCCTAATCCGCTTGAAAATGATGCGCTGGAAAAATATAAGTTTGGTAGAAGACGCGTGCAACAGTTTCTTGACACAGTTCCGCAGTCATCGGAGACGGCAAATGTTACATTTAGTTCATTTCTTGATACAGTCCACCTCACATATGAGGAGTATATTGAATGCTTACGTGTAGGACTGAAAAAGCGCACATTGTTTCACGCTCGGGACGTGAAAGATTGATTTGTCAATAACTTCAACAAAACAATATTGTCAGTTTGGCAAGGCAATATGGACATACAGCTATGTATCGATCCATATAGTGTTGCAACTTATATTGCAGCCTATATGACAAAATCAGGGAAAGGTATGAGTAAAATTATCGAGAATGCGAAAAGGTTTGCGACAATCCAAGGTACGGGGATTTTACACGTGCTTCGTAGCATTGGGAATGCTGTCTTGAATACGCAGGAAATTAGTGCGCAAGAGGCGATATATCTTATACTAAGCATACCATACAAGAAATCTACTCGTAGCGTGGTGTTTGTTAACACTAATCACACAAGCCGACGTGTATTACTACTAAAACCAAAATCAGAATTACAAAAATTGGATCCGGAGTCTAAGAATATATTCACTCCATATGCAATTTTGGAACGTTACATCTATCGACCCAGATGTATGGAATTAATTTGTTTTGCTGACTTCATATCAGAATTTGACATTACAACGAAAGCAAATGAGTTGTTTGGGCCCGATTTATCCGAAAAGAAAAGGTATTACTCAAAAATACTTAAACGGAAACTCATTCGATACGTCAACTTCCATAGAGATGTTGACCCCTCTAATTACATGCGGGAGCACGTTCTCTTATTCGTTCCCTTTCATCAAGAGGTTAGTGATCCTGTGATTGTTCATAAAATGTTTTACGAGCACGAGAATGCCATAGATGAGAAAAGTGGTGAGTATTCTCTCACTACTAACTCATGGATCCGTGCATTGGAAAGTGCTGTAGATGAGATTGATGACGATGCTAGTCTAATCACCAACGAACGTCTGCCCACCGAGGAAATTGACATTGGCCACGAGCTTGGAATGCCGACTAGCAATGGAAGGTTGTCTGATGTATTTCGCTCCATCTCCATGAACGAACGCAGATATTTGGAAATGGAACGCATGTTGAATGCCGAACAACGTTCCGTTTCTGATCATATCGTGCACAACGTTCGGCGATCATCTGAGCTTGGTCCATTAAATATATTAATTAGTGGAGGCGCAGGGGTGGGAAAGTCGGTATTAGTTAATACAGTACATGATCGGTTGGTTCGTATTTTGCATGCACTGATAGAGACAAATTTTGATACCATAAAGGTATTGAAAACTGCTCCTTCTGGTGTGGCAGCTTTTCAAATAAGAGGTTACACCATTCATAGTGCTCTAATGATTCCAGTAGTACAACGTCATCAAATAACGAAGTTATCGTCAGATAGACTGAACACGTTAAGATCGCGTCTTGGTGACGTAAAGGTGGTCATCGTGGATGAAATATAAATGGTTGGGCGAACACATTTGAATGGATTGATTTTAGACTGCGTGAGCTTACTAACAATGCAAACCTTTCATTTGGAGGGTTACATATGATTTTTGTGGGTGATTTTTTCCAACTGCCTCCAGTACGAGATCAGCATTGTTTCAGCCATAAACCTGAGTCTCTCATGGGGAAAGATGTAGATGCTTGGGACAAAGTTCGTTTAGTTGAGCTTACAACAATCATGCGACAACGCAAAGAGATAAGGTTTGCGCAACTACTTAATCATTTACGCGAAGGTATGCACACTGATAAAGATATCAAAACGTGAAGTTCCTTATATTCAAGATGACCATCAAGCCCAGCATTTGTTTTGCACAAATGCTGCAATTGACAACTTCAACCATGATTTTTTTGCTAAATCCGTCGAAGAAAAGTATTCGATTCCAGCGATGGATTGTGCTTTATTCGGTAAGGACCACTCTAGAAAGAGCAACCCTATTACATGCCCTGATTTTCGAAGTACTGCTTCTCATGGGTTGTTTGCAACCCTTGAGTTATTTGTTGGTTCGCAAGTACACGTTGTATTAAATCTAGATACGTCCGATGGGCTAACAAATGGAACATCGAGTATAGTTGTGCATTTTACACTAGCGAATAACGGCGTAGTAGAAATTTTATGGGTTGAATTTCAAGATCAAACCATAGGTTGCAAGCTACGGGCAAAAATGGGACATTTGTTTACAAAGTTCATCAATGTGAAGCAGCAATGGACTCCTATACTTAGAATAGAGAAAACTTTTTCGGTCAATGCCAGATATGACACCATTTCAAGAACGCAGTTTCCATTAAGACCAAGTAATGCAATTAGTTTTCATCGAAGCCAAGGAGCTACGCTTGATTCTGGGGTGGTGCACTTTGGGAGAAAGATTTTCCCTCAAGGGGCTTATGTTGCGCTCAGTCGATTTCGTAGTCCCGAACGACTATTTCTTCAAAACTTTTCCGTAGAGTGTATCAAAACAGACAATCGCATAATTGAAGAGATGGAACGTTTGCGAAAAATCCCATTGGTTCTTGACCTGAAACCTATCGGTTTGATCCAATCTATAAATTCTATTCTTAAATTTACTTTCCATAATATAAGAAGCCTACGCGCACATTTTGAAGACATCGCGTACGACTCTTTTGACTCCAATGACTTCCTGGTTTTTTTTTTTTTTAAGTCATTTAACATCAAGCGATGTACTACCATTATGCATGCAATACGGTTTCAAAGTATTGAGGCAAGACTGTGAAACAGATGGTATTGTTGTATACCATCGAGGACGGGTAGAGAATATTTGTTACAAAAGCTAGACAAAAATTGAGTTTCTATCTTTTCGATTGGTCACTTTATTTGATTCGTTTGAAATTCATTGCTGTTACAGAAATCATACTATTTCAAATCATGAGGTGCTCTTTGAGTTGATTCGCTCAAGCATCATTCAAAACCGTGACAAAAAAATGATTTTCATCGGTGACTTCAACATAAATTTGAGTTCTGTTCCTCATCAAATGTATCGTAATAAATTCTTGCTTCAAGGTTTTAACCAATATGTTCTTGAGCACTCTACTGTTAACAACACACTCATTGATCATGTTTGGTCTAATTGCTACAAAACAAGAACGAAAGCTTTTATTGGAGAAACCTATTTTTCTGACCATTTTCCAATTCATTTAGTTATTGAACGATGAGTCCCAATCTCCAATCCAAGGGATTTACACCCACACCTTCCTCCCTTTTTGATCCATTGAATTTTCCTTACAGATCCGTTGCCTCATCCGCATAACTCACATCGGGTATGTTCAATAAAATTGAACAACTGTCATTGCTTCGTGGTTTTTCTTCCTTTGTATTGCATTGTTACCAAAAAACCATTGTTTTTTGTCTATGTATATCATCTTTATTATTATTTACTTATATCACGCTCGGCATTGACAGCGTCAATCAAGTTTGTATTTTTTTTTTCCTCAAAATTTCTCATCAGACCCCAGGGTTGGCCAGTATCAAGCAAATCGAAAGTCGGATTGTGGCTGAAGATAAGATTTCCGATTTCTACATTAGTGTGTTGGTTGTCGGCCTTAGGAACCCCGTGGCAAGGGCAACGGGGCGACCCTTGCCTGGCAAGATACTCATTAGTGATGCACATTCTAGTATTGCTGAGGTTCTCTTGTGGCCTGATGTCGAAGAGGGTCCAGGCAAGCATGGTGTCGAAGTTGTTAGGGAAGTAATCGCGAAGCTCGATATTGGAAAGGTCTACAACATGTACCACATCAATGCAACCATTGGCAAAGAAAACTGGTAAGCGGTTAAACTACTGTCGATGTTAGTGCATGCCGGGTTGCATATTTATCCACTTCTTAATTGGCGTGTTTCTTTTGTCGTCTTGTTTGCTCCTTCCCCGACACCCAGGTCACGGATTGGTGGGCTGAAGATACATTTCGACTGGATCCATCGATGCACGTGCATGGTGGAAACCACCAGTCCTACGAACGTCTCCATAACCAACATCTCCACATCAAGCCTGAAGGATTTTTACAACGAAAACAACCATGCACCCGTATATATCCTAACGTTTATCTCGTTCGATTTTTGTCACAGATGGAAGATCCTTTCAATCTTGCCTCATTTTCTTTACACATCTCCTTGTGCTATGTTTTTGTATGCACTTGTAAATCCAATATTCTATGTCCCTTTCCTTCCATGGGGGCTTTACGCATTTCTTTATTTCCTTTGAGTCACAACCTCTCCCATTTTCGTATCCCAATCCGTCGTTTTCCTGCGCAAATCAGATTCCTTGCATCGCAGTGAAGCTCGGCATTACATCTCTCGATCCCAAGAGCAAAGTGCCCAAGCTGGTGACAACAATCCAGGACTCATCGATGAAGAGTGTACTCCTTGCAATCGATCAGATAGCGTCGACCATTGTGGCATGCGGTGAGGAGTATCGTGCCAAAAACGATGACAGTGCGTTCGTTCCTGTCCTACTGAATGATGTGAACGTCAAGTCTACAATGTTTATGACAACGGCCAAAACAGAAGTTCGTGTACTAGAAGTAGCGCGTGCAGATTCCATTCCTGATGTGCCTCCGCCACAAGAGACTCTGGAATTGGGACTTCTCCAACTGTAAGTTCGAAGTGTCGCATAAGCTTTGTAAAATTTGTATAGTATGCAGATAAATATTGTTATTTATTATCCTCGTGTCACCTTAATTCTCATGTTCCTAATCTTCAATCTTCAAGATGACAAATGTGGAGAAGGTGGTTACTATGACGGGGCAGGAGTTCGTCGCTACATTCGACGTCCAGCTAGAAGAGCCATGCTTCCGGACGCGGAAGATATGCAATTTTGTTGTCAACGATGAAGTGTGTGGTGAACCATTGGTCTACTCTTTCTCAACTAAGCGCCATGAGTGTGCCAAGCACAATGCTGCATCTTCAATAGAAGTCGACCACTTCTCTTGTATGCTCGTTGTGCAAGAGAAAGGTACGTAAACAGTATATGCATAATTGTATTAGTGAAATCTTGATGGGATGACGTGGTAACATCAAACGTGGTAGACCAAGACAATCAAACTCCATGAATGATGCTCATTAGCTATTTTTTTCACCATCTTTGCATTTCATGCACATTTCCTGCCCTCTCTCACACCTATTCAACCATGTGTAAATTTCTTCTCATGAAATAATTTCACTTGCAGACAACTATCTTCACAAGTCTCGAGACTTAGATTTGAGGCCCGAGTTGCTGCGAAGTGTGATCCGAGACTTCCAGACATCAGATTTCCTCCATTCAACAGATTCGGCACATCAAAATGTTCTTGATGCACTCAAGAAGCAACTGCGAGCTAAGGTACAATAGATTCAGACATTTGTTAAAAATAAAGGGAGTGGTAAATCTATGAATTTTGTATATTGTGCGATTTTCATTTGCAGATACATTTTCGGCTCGAAGAGGACCGTGTCGTAAAGACAATACTCAACATTTCAGAACCTCCTATAGTGGCACCGTCATCATCCACTGCGCAGTCATCTGCTGCGCCTACACCCTTTACACCCGCTAAACGCTAGACATTCGATTAAGGTAACTTTAATGAGATTTGGTTGTCGATACGGACCGGTAATTATCCCTTCATGTTTTAACTTGACAACTTTCTTACGCTTAATACCTTTTTTTTCCCCTCACCGTTTTCTGTTTTTTTTTCTTTCTTTTATTGTGCCTTCTTGTGTCCCCCACTCTTTTCAGAATGTGTTATTTTCTTTTACGAAGACGACATGCCGATCTTGTTTTACCAACTTACGTGCCTTAGCATACTATTTGCCAACTACTCATATTATGCATTAATGACTACGCTCTGTGAGTGCGGCCATATGCTTGTTTATTTTATTACTTTAGTAATACACGTTTTGTGACTCTCCAATATTGGTTTGAGCTTTTCATTTCAAGCAAGTTTCTTAGACGCTCTCCTCGAGTGCGGTCACTTGAACTGGAAGTGATAAGCCTAAATCATTATTTGGAAGTCACAAATATGTCTTTGTTGCACAATAGGCTTTCGATTTCCCCCACTTAGCTGGGGAAGCGATCGCTTATTTTTGTTTTTGACAAAAATATGCCACGAGAAATGCCCCAAAAATAAGGGGAAAAAAAAACACAGCATGCAATTGTGGAAAAATTTTACATTTTTTTTCCATAAAAAAAACCAGTAATATAGTGTAATTAATATATATTGCACTATATTACAGATTTATAGAAATCCCCTTTACATAGTTTGGTCAGAGAGAGAGTTTTTTTTCCTTTTTTTTTCTTAAAACACGAAACAGATAATAATGGAAAGCATGAGCACATTTGTTGTTTTCAATCATTGTCTATTTTGAAGTATAATATTATAGGTAGTTCTGATATAACACTTTCATCCAACTCTTTGCAAAGTTACTGAACCTATGTAGTTTAAATTAATGATCGCTAGTATATTGGCCACCAATCTCCGTGTTATAATTCACTATAATGAAAAACTGACAATTTTTAAATAAAATTTTCACCATTTTATAAAATATATTTGAAAAAAAATCTCGTCAGATCGATCGCAATAGGTTGGTTCGCAACCCAAAAAACAAACAAACAAACAAACAAACAAGGGAAAATACATCGGTCCTCAGTATTAGGGGCCTCGATAACATGTACGGTCAGTGATACGATAAAAACAATCAGAATTAGCGAGTTCGCAACATGTTTCATCAGTCGGGTTCCACCGTTAGTCAGAAACTATAGGAAAAAAGTTCCACGAATGGTCAGTAGAAGTAACCCTCGGCCGTTTAGGAACGTTTTCCCGCCCGCGCCAGCCCGATTTTGTCACCATTGTGGCTGGTGCGATATTTTTCCCGAGGTCCAAGCGCAGTTCGAGCGAAAAAACACAATGTGCCCAAATTAAAATGCCTTGGACATTTGTTCGTCGAGAAACACGAAAACACGATTTTGTTTCGAAGCACATACTTTTGTCACAGAGTGTAGCGCGTCTCGCCATGATAAAAAATGGCGGCTTTGTCTCTACTATATTTACAGCCCCAAAAAAAAGTCAAGCCATAAACTTGTTCTCATTCCTGAGTCGCCCAAAAACAAAAGCATATATAGATAGCTAAGGAGGCTTATTTTCGGAAAGTGAATATGTTTTAAACACTTCGATGTACTCTCAGAACCGCATTTAATTTTGTATTAATTTCAATACAACAAATCTATTAGAAGTCTGCCGATTGTCTTTTGATTTTTTCAACAAATGTATTTACCGGAAAATTTTCCGCCGAATTACGAGTCTACAAGTCTTGTCATGCTCGAAACAAATTAGCGCACGCGCACTATAGTTTGATTTTTACACCTCATAGGCTTAGCGCCGATCCCGGAGAGATTTTTTTTTTTTTTTTTTTTTTTTTTTGCGTTTGTTAATGTTTGAACAATATCACACCCGATGTGCGGCCTGCTGTGGCCCAATTAGCTTATGTGACAAAAAAGCACGAGGTCTCAATTTTGGAATTTTGTGTGCGCGACGTCCAACGATTTCTAATTTGGGAATACTTTACGTAGTTCTCTCGAAATGCGCCTGGAGCTTGAGAAAAATATCGCACCAGTCACAATGATGACGAAATTGGGCTGGCGCGGGCGGGAAAACGTTCCGAAACGGGCGAGGGTTACTTCTACTGACCATTCGTGGAACTTTTTTTCCTGTAGTTTCTGACTAACGGTGAAACCCGACTGATGACTCATGTTGCGAACTCACTAATTCTGATTGTTTATATTGTCTCACTGACCGCATATATTATCGAGGCCCCTAATAGTGAACGCCGATGTATTTTCCCAACAAACAAAACAAAACCAAAACAAAAACAAAAACAACAGTCAACGAAATCGTCTTATGGTTGCGGAGCTATCTATGCAGCATATGCGTAATTATTATTCTTATTATTTGTTAATATTGTGATAGGAGTAATAACAGTAGTGGGGGATTTTTTCGATGTGTGATCAGGATCAAGGTACGCGAGATTATTAGCATTTATAACATTTATTTAAACTATTATTTCTCACACGTTGCTACATCTATCTCGTCTTTCTTAGCTACATTTATTTTTTAGTGTAACGAAGGACGTTGACATAATAAACAATTGCTAGATGTCCTGTCAAAGTTCAAGTCCGCGCAGGCATCAAACCGCAGACTTTGACGACAATCATCAAACTTCAAAACCACTGTGCTACACGTTGGGCTCACATCGAGCAACGCAATTATCTAGTCCAAAACGTTTGCGACGAAACAAAACTCCTTCTAGGGTTTCTGTCACATGATCGAATATGTCGAGGAAAGATAGCACTATCGATTGATACAAGGTGCTTTTATACTTCCAGAGTACATCAGGTAACCAGGTTTATTCTATCCCAAGGGAATAGACCCTTCTAGAATATAGAATCACCCTGCGTATAGCCACGCGAGGCTATTGGCTTTAAGGGATTACGGCAGGATTACGCTAGATATAGCGCGCCAGTACATCCCGAGCCTGATCGGTGATATAATTTAATAACCGAATAAACCAAAGGATATTGGAAAATGGAGAATAGGAAACCAAATAAGATGGGATAAAAAGAGAGATGAAATAGAAATGAATTAGGGAAAGGAACAAGTGGTGTAACGGGGTCGTACTCTCACACTTCCCCCCCTCAAAGCTGGGTGGTAGAAGTAACACCCTACTTTACAAGGTAGTCATGAAGAGGACGACGAACGTTACCCATGTCGGTCTTAGGTACCCAGCTGTCCTTAGAAGGATCATAACCCTTCCAACGAATGAGAAGCTCCACGGTGCCATTCCGACGACGGCGGTGTGCAAGCACGGACTCGACCTCGTACTCGGGTTCATTTTGGACGAGGACGGGCGGCGGCGGCGGCGGTTGGCATCCGAAGAAGATCGCGTTCGGATCCCGATAGGGCTTCCGAAGTTGGACATGGAAGGCATTGTGAATCTTCCAGGTAGCTGGCAGACGTAAGCGGAAGGTAACAGGAGTGACCTGTGCTTCAACGAGAAAAGGCCCGCAGAAGCGAGGTCGTAGTTTAGATGGGAGATGGCTAATGTCAAGGTTGCGGGTGTCGAGGAGCACCTGCTGCTGAATGTCGAGGAGGCGCTTATGGGTCCGATCCCAAAGCTGATGCATGGTTGTGATGAAATCATGTGCAGGTTGTACCGTAGCGGATGTTGTCGGTTTCTGTGGTGTGAGTGGGTGGCGTCCGTAGCAGAGGAAAAACGGCGTCTGTCCAGTAGCGGCATGCGTAGCATTGTTGTAAGCAAACTCTAGTACGGGCAGGTGCAAGTCCCATTTGGAGATCTCGTCTTTGCAGGCTGCTCGGAGGAGTTGCTCAACAATTTGGTTGAGGCGCTCGGTCTGTCCGTCTGTCTGCGGATGGCATGCGGATGACATGGCGAGTTTGGTTCCGAGAAGAGACATAAGTTCCTTCCAGAACTTGCTGGTGAACATGGGGTCTCAGTCGGAAATGAGTGTGGTTGGGATGCCATGCTGTGAGATGATGTGACGAACGAAGAGCTGTGCTGTCTCCTCGGTGCGTGCCGTCGTGTGTGTCGGGATGAAGTGTCCCATTTTGGAGAACTTGTCAATGACGACAAGGATTGCGTCATGACTGCTGGTGGTAGGTGGTAACCCGGTGATGAAGTCTAGGCTAACCACTTGCCATGGCTGTTCTGGGACAGGAAGAGGCTGCAGTAGTCCCGCCTTTTTCTGCTTGCTGCTCTTCATCCGCTGACATGTATCACACGAGGTGACGAATTTCTGGACGTCGTCTGCCATATGGGGCCAATAGTAGTGTTTGGCGATACCGGTGAGCGTCTTGTTGCTACCGAAGTGTCCGGCGTACAGGACGTCGTGGTATTCTTCGAGTAGTAACTGGCGCAGAGGAGGGTAATTGGGTACCCAGATTTTTGTTGATCCTTTCCGGTACGCGATGTCACTGTCCCACTGTAGCAGATGTCGCTTTTCTGCCAAGGGAATTTCGGGGTCGATGGCGTACCCGTGTGTGAAGAGTCCCTTGAGTAGTGGATTCATCCCTTCAATCTGAATGGCGGCAACGTGTGCAGGCCGGCTAAGAGCGTCTGCTTTGTTTTTGTGGCCGGGCTTGTACACGATGTCGTAGTGGAAGTGTGTCTCGAGGAAGTCGATCCACCGGACCTGCCGCCTGGAAAGATTGGGTTGTGTCTTCAAGTATTTCAGGCTGCAGTGGTCGGTGTAGACGGTTGTTCTTCGGCCTTCAAGATAACATCTCCACGCTTTAAAGGTGATGACGATGGCAAGGGCCTCTTTGTCGTGTATCGGGTAGTTTAGTTCTGCTCCGTGTAGTTTCTTGCTGAGGTAGGCGATTGGTTGCAGTCCATTCCCCTGGTCTTGCATCAAGACTGCTCCCACTGCCTGGTCGCTGGCGACAGCTTCGATTACGTAGTCGCGTTCGGGATCTGGCAAGATGAGTACCGGTGCGGACGTGAGTGCTTGTTTCAGCTGCTCCACGGCTTCCTGGTGCTTTGGTTCCCATTTATAGGGCGTGTTCTTCTTCAGCAGATTCGTGAGTGGTGCTGCGATTTTTGCATATTGCGGCACGAACCTGTTGTAGTAATTAGCGATGCCTAGGAACCGTTGCAACTCCTTCACGTTCTCGGGTGTCTTCCACGTGCGTACGGCCTCGATTTTCTTGGGGTCGACGTGAACTCCTTGAGCGCTCACCATGTGTCCTA